AGTGCCTGTCACGTACCTGAACTGACCCTGCTGATGTGAGGGTTGAATACCTTTGGTCTCACCAGTCGGTAGGACCGTGATCGGCAGAGGGTAACTGTGCCATTAGCTCAGACCTTTTCCCCGACCTCCAAACCCAGACTTACCGGCCTTCTCCCCGTGAATGTCTGACAGGCACGTCACACTTTCCGTGTCCCAACCCAGGCTCATCTTTTCCTCCACACAGGTGATTTCCCTCCTGTGTTTCTGTCTCAGCAAATGGCACTCCAGGGAACCCCGGGAGTCACCCGAGGCTCTTCCCTTTCCTCTGCCCTGTGCTCAGGTGGCCGTGGGGATCTGGGCGGGCTTCCTCCCTCCTGCCCTGCCTCTGTTGCTTTGTGTCTGTTCAGGCTCTCCCTCTTTCTGTCCTGGCTTAAAGCAACATTTCCTGACTGGTCTCAGTCTCAAAACTCTTAGATTTCTGATGGCTCATTCACATGGGAGCTGGAGTCACCTTTCTGGTTGTGTCTTATTTATTTACTTATGCCCTCAGGCTTCAGGAAGGATTTAGGTACATACAGGAATCCCATCTGGTTACTCCCTTGCTTAATACCTGTCATCGCTTCCGGTCTGACGTGCTCAGCATGGAGTCCCCAGCCCTCCATGATCTCATGCGCATCTGTCTCTCCAGGCCTGACTCGGGTCTCAGAAACCCCAAGAAGCCCCAGCGCCCCAGCCCCTGGCACCTCCCCAGGTGTGCGCGTTGCTGTGCACCTTGCCCGGCCCCAGGCTCTCAGATGCCTTCAGGCTGTGGGGTGGTGAGGCAAGGCCAAGGGTTCAGACACTGGGCGCTCCCACGCCACGCGCACACATAGCGCCACTTCCAGATCTCATTTGCACAGTTTTCCATTCCAGCGCTCCCCTTCTGCAGTCACAACCCTGCGTTTTCGAGTTGTGTCCGTACCCCTTCCTGTTACAGAGCTGGCCATAGCAGCCTCCCTTGTCCATGTGGCGGGGATGTCCCTCTGGGTCCCTGGCTCCTGTTGCCTCTCTGTCGCGTGGCCAACACACATTTCCTCAGGTTTCCCACAGTGGTGACTTAACCTCTCCTGGTGACCGTTCCCCATGAGGTCGCCTGACAAGGGTCCTGCCTTTGTCCTGCACCACAGAGGCGGCACCTGGGTTCAGCATTAGTCCCACGTGAGCGGGGCCAGGGAAGAAGGGCTGGCAGTGGACCAGCCTGGTCCGAGGAGGTTTCTGGCTCCAGACGGGGCCTTCCTGTCGCCCTGGGGCTCGCAGCCACTGCTGGTGTCGGTGAGGCTCCTTCTTTCTGACCCTCCCTGGACTGCGCACACCCGCTGCTCCTCTGGAGCAGCAGTTCCCGAAGTGTGTGCATTGAAGCCAGTCCCATGCGATGTCCCCGTCCCCAAGCAAACTGTTGATGTCACAAGTTTGAGACACGCTTGGTACTGAGATTCACGACCCTCAGCCGTACACCAAACTCCCCGGAGAAGTCCCACAGTGACAGGCCCCTGCCAACCCAGTCCACCTCCAGTCGCTCGTGACCCAGGGACACTCTCGCCACGTCACACCTCCTCCCGGTTTCTCTAAGCACGCTTCCTGACGTCATGCGTCATTAGCAAAGCCCCTCATCCTGCTGTTGTCACCAAGAGTGGTCCCAGGCTCGTGTGGCCCCAGTAACGCCCTCGCCCACACCATGACCCCGAGGGCCGGGCTCCGCTTCCTTGCCTGCAGCTGGGAAGGGGTGGGGCCGTAGTTCTGCGTGTTCACTCTCGGCTTAGGTGGCTGTTCAGTTCCCCCACGTCCAAGCGTTGCAGAGAGCCTTGCCCTGAGCCCGGCACGGCACAGGCGCTCAGTGACTAACTGACAGGTGCATACGTTCCTCGTTCCACTGGCCTCTACCTGTGCCCGGAAGGGGCTGCCGCACGTTCACACCGTGCTTGCCCAGTGGAAAGCGCCGCCCCTCTGCGCCCACGTCCGCCGGGGCCGGGGCGCCGGCCTCCTCCTGGTGCCCCAGGCCTTGGGGGCCTTACTCTGAGTGCCAGCGTAGAATCCCGGAACTCACACAGCGCCCACTGGGGCTGCGGTCAGGGCCTCCTTAGCGAGGGGATGCTCCCTGGGCTTGTCGTCCATACTCAAAATCCAGAGTTACCTTGAGAGGGAAATTATTCCAACTGATGATTCTGGGGCCTCTCCCAGCTTTCTCTTCCTGGGCTTTTCTTCCTTAGCCAGACTGTCGCAGCTGTGTCCGCCCCGCCTACGCGCAGAGCAGCGCCCGTAGCTGATGGCAGTGACCTTTAGAAATCCAATCCAAGGTAAAGGTTAGTCAGCAGATCAGAGCAGCCCCCCGAGTGCTCGAGCATTCTTATTAACGCCTCCACCTAAGAAGGAAGTGGTAGCCGTCGCCCGCTGTGAGTTCTCCATTCCGTGGGCAAATTTATACTTGGGTGTCAATGTTCAGGTCAACTTCTACTTCATAACTTACGCCCAGTACCTCTCAGCTCTAGCATCCCCGTCAGCACTGGGAGCTCAGCGTGGACAGGCAGAAAAGAGGGGAAGCTACGCTGACTTCCATGCGCTCTTGTTGGCATCTGCACCCGCTGCTATAGCATTGCCACCATCTTGCAGGTGAGGCACGGAGATTTATTTGATCATTGATTCTGCCCACTGGATTGCAAGCTCTCTGAGAAGAGGGCTTTTGCCTTGCCCACCGATTTCAGCGGTGCCTAGCAGAGGCCTGTTAGATGGTGGGCAGTCAGTACTTACTGAATGAAATACCACACCTTCCTCCCTCGTTAGGAGCAGGCTGGGCCATTCTCCCCTCGGCTCATTGCCAGCTTTAAAAGAAAATTTTTATTTACTTGATTGAATAGTAAAGTCTCAGTACTGTTTAACATACTGGCTCTTCTCATGAAAGGGTCAGTTATTACTGCTTTTCAATTAATTTCTTCACAGGGCAAACAGAATGATATAGAATTTAGCAAAAGAGAAAAAAATCAGTGTTTTAAAAGATAGATAGAACACTTTCTTTTCTTTCTTCCTTTTTTTTTTTTTGCGGTACGCGGGCCTCTCACTGTTGTGGCCTCTCCCGCTGCGGAGCACAGGCTCCGTACGCACAGGCTCAGCGGCCATGGCTCACGGGCCCAGCCTTTCCGCAGCATGTGGGATCTTCCCGGGCCGGGGCACGAACCCGTGTCCCCTGCATCAGCAGGCGGACTCTCAACCACTGCGCCACCAGGGAAGCCCCAGAACATTTTCTTAATTATGAAAAAAGGGGGTTGTATGTAAATGAATTTTATTTGTGGAAATATGAAGTAGCCAATATCACTAACTTTAAAATATTTTTCTCTTGTGTATATATTATGCGAGTGTTTTACTATGGCTGTGTCCTTCATTGACCACATTACTGGCTCCTTGATCCCCTTAATGTGTTAGACAAGTCATTTAGATGACATTTCAAACAATGTTCTGAGCTCCTTGCTGTTTAAGCCAATAACAGGAATAACAAGTAATTAATTTTTGAAAAGTCAAGGGTTTAAAAAAAAAAAAAGAAAGGAAAGGGAATTCCCTGGCAGTCCAGTGGTTAGGACGCTGAGCTCTGACTGCCGAGGGCGTGGGTTCAGTCCCTCGTCGGGGAACTAAGATCCCACAAGCTGCACAGTGTGGCCAAAAAGGAAAAGGAAAAGTCAAAGGTTAAAAGTTACAAGATCATACATGGTCATGAACCATTTAAAAGCCGGGTTTTCGGTCTTCAAGGTGAGAATATGGGGATCTGTAAATACTGCGAAGGGAAGCAGTTGAGAACGTGGCCGATTTATTACATTTAGTAAATCAGTCAAGTGTTCTGGAGGGCCCACTTTTGGAAGTCAGTCTTCATTCATGCATTTAACAAATAAATGTTGATTGAGTGCCTCTGTGGTCCAGGTACTGTGCCAGGTGCTGGGGACATGCAGGTGCTATATCTCCAGCCCTTGTGAAACTCCATGTCTGCTAAAGGAGAAAGACACAGAAATGGCTGCAAAATGATCACAGTTCAATATGATCAGCGTGGATAATGTTCCGTTCGAGGGTTGTGGTGACATAGAGGGAACTGAGTGCTACTGCCTGCCCCTTCGGGAAGGGCTCCACAGACGGCTGAGACTTCCTCTCTTCGCCTCTACTTACTTTTGTCCCCTAGAGTTCTTTTAGACAATTTCCAAACATTCTATCATTTTACCTATAAATAATTCAATATACATCTCTAACAGATAAGGGCTTCAAAAAACGTAACCACAGTGCCGAATATAATTAACACTAATTCCTTAGTATCATGTAATACCAGTGCAGTCCATTTTCACATTTCCCGTGTTTTCTCAAAATGTCTTTTACGGTTGGTTTGAGTCCATCCAAACAAGTGTCATTCACAGCATTTGGTGGTTTCTCTATTTTAGTACATGCTTAATACCATGTTGCTGTAGTAGCAAAAGCAAAACAATAAATGGGACGTGCCCATAAAGTAGGCAGTGATTTGGCCTATAGGCAGGATTAAAAGGGAGTAGGGTGGGAGGGGGATTGTGAATTTTTTCCATAAACACCTCTAGAGCGACTTGGTGCCAAGTGCATGTGTTATTTGTATACCCAAAGATAAAATCTTAATAAAGAAGAAAACCAGGATAATAAACTGATTTTCATTGCTTTTGTTCTTTATGATGTCTTTGACTAGGCAGCTTTAAGTTCCTCTGGGAGCTTGGTCAGGGCGAACCCACCCGTTTTCTTATAGACTGCTGCTTGGAGTGGAGTAGCAACAAGCCAAAGGTGGGTGGCTTGGGAAATGCATCAGTAGGGTATTACTAAACTTGGACTTGGGCTAATTTTTAAATCATATACGATTATGGTTGGAGAATCCTGGTGGATGAAACACTTTGCAAATCCGTTGGTTCTGTGCCGTTACAGTGATTTGGGATTAATGCATTGCTGTCAATGTCTAACACGATCTCTTTCCTTCTCTCCCCCTCCCCCCTCAGGCTTCAACCATGTTAAGAGCCTCCTTGGCACCCGTGTAAGTAACTACTCTTAGGAGTTGTTATTAAGGAGAATAGCTATGGGTAAAACTGAAATTCAAAACAGTTTTAATAAAAGCTCTTAACCGCCTCGCTTAGACGAATTCCTTTGATTAAGCTGAAGCTACATGTGGGCATTAAAGGAAATACCAGTAATCATAAGTAATACTTACAAAATACTTACAAAAGTATCTTTTAAAGTCAATTCTATTTACGTTGGTGAGGTAGCATCGAATGGAAAAAATTGTTGAATTGTTCCTATAATATTCTATAGAAATCAGTTTAATCTACTGTCATACGGCAGTCAACAGAACGTTGCAATGTCTAAATTTTATGTTCTCTCCTGAGTCACATTGTGACCAGGGCCACAGGATAGCTCTGTGTGTGCTGGGGCATTCCTATCCAAGTCAGTTAGGCTGTCCCCCGTGGGGGTATCTGATGCACGGGGGCTTCACCAGGCATATGTGTTGCACTAGCAGGGAAGTTGAGAACCTTTGGCATGGACACGAGGACTAGGGTGGGTTCTGGTGACCCTCTGAGCCAGCCTTGGGTGGTGGTGGGGATTGGAGGGTGCTATGATATTACCAAGACACCTGCGGTCAATGCAACATTCCTCCTTCCCTCGGTCCTGCCCGAGTCTGACATTAACCCTGCACTCTGTTCACTTCAGATGGTGGCTGTAGAATGCAGTGCTTATGAGCACGGACTGCCGGGGTTAAAACCCCCCTCTGCCACCGGCTCTGTGACCTTGGACCATTTTTATAACCTGTCTGTACCTCAGTTTCCTCATGGACTGTAGGAGAGTGGCTGGACCACAGAAACGGGGATAGCCGAGCAACTTAGTAATATTGCCATTATTGGCAAGTAAATATGGCCTAAATATATATGACCATTTTTCCTCCTTTGAGTAGAAGCTCCCCAGCTATGGAACATTATCAAACTTGGCTTTACAAATGGAACTTTTTTTGTCTAGAGAAAGAGCCTGTTTGCATTTTAAATTAAAACTTTTTTTCATTTTGAAATAATTTCAGAGTTGCAAAAATAGAACAAAGAATTCCCATATACCCTTCACCCAGATTCCCCAGTGTTAATATTTTACACAAGCCCAGTGCAGCTACCAAAATCAGAAAATTAATGCTGAAAAAGTACTGTCCTCTAGTCTGCAGGGCTTATTCACATTCTATCAGTTGTTCCATTATGTCCTTTCTCTGGTCTGGGGTTCAATCTAGGATCACACGTTAGTCTTGTCATGTCTTAGTTTCCTTTAATTTGAAATCATTCTTCGGTCTTTGTCTTTCGAGGCCTTGACACTTTTGAAGAATACTGACCAGTTATTTATAACTGGAATTTTTTAAAGTATTTGTATTAATTTTTAAACTCACAATAGTATCTGCCTCTGGAAAAAAATAAAAATGATCAATGTGCCATGTACAGAGGTTTACCATTTACTATATTAAAAGAAGACTCTGACGCTCCTCCCCAGGAGTGTTCACTGAGACCCCATTCGATGCCCTCTTTTCTGGCTTTTTCTTCCAGGCCCTATAAGAGGATCTCATTTTTTCTTTTAAAAACTAACCTTAAGGGAACACCCTGGCGGTCCAGTGGTTAGGACTGTGCGCTTTCACTGCTGAGGGCACGGGTTCGATCCATGGTCTTGGGGAACTAAGATCCTGCAAGCTGCGTGGCGTGGCCAAAAAAAAAAACAAAAAAAACTAGCATGTAATTTTTTCCTATAATGTAAGTAATACATGCTCATTATAGAAAATTTGAGTCTATAGAAACATGAAGAAGAAAATTTAGAGAACCCCAATTCCTACCTCCCAGAGGTATTAGCTCAGTTTTTACTCCACCCTTAAAAACAAATGAAACCCTACAGCTTTAGTCTTTTCACTCAATTCTTCATGAATTCTCATTTAATATTAATATTCTCTGCGCAGTATTAGAAGAATCATATTTTGTTTTGTTCTTAGTTTTTTTATTTTGAAATAATGATAGATGCATAGGAAGCTGAGTCCCTCAGTGTCTCAGATAAGGTGGTGACATCTTATCTGACTGTAGTACAACAGCAAAACGAGGAAATTAACATGGAGACAGTGCAGACCTCGTTCAGTTTTCAATTTTTCTATACACTCCAATCTTCTTCTATTCAACAAAACAAAATGTGAAGATACTTGTTTTAGTGACAAGGCATCTGAGGTGGTCCCTTTTGTTTCTGGCCAGCCAGATGCAGGTGTTGGATCATCTGCACCGTGTAGATCTCTGAACAGCGGTCTCTCTTAGTTGAAACCTGCCTTCGCCTGAGGTCTGACTCGGAGTCCTCCTGAGGAGGGTTTGCAAATTGCCCTACTTACTACCTGTCTCACTGGCACGTCCCCACTGCCGCTTCCTGGCCACACCCTCCTACCTCCCGGAGGGTCAGCTGTGCACCTCCTCTTCACAGTTGTTTTCTGACCCCTGTTCTGTCCTTCACGTCCCCCCAAGCCAGTCCGTCAGGCTTGAGAGGGACAGTGGCTTCAGGTTTTTAGGGAGGACCCTAGGGTAGCCTGCTGAAACTAATAAGCTTTGAACTTTGCTCAGGATTCTAAATAGAACTCAGGATTCTATGAGGCCTCCAAGGTGATTTCATCCCCATGGTGTGGAGCCCTGGCCTATTGTGAATGTGGTGGTATCTAATCCCGTTAGGCCGAGACTCCTTGTTTTAGGAAAAGTGTTATATAGACCCTGGTACATGCAACAGAAGAGACAGAGCTGAGCCCGTTGAAGCTGGGGTGGGGGGCCTGGAACCCAGCCCTCTTGGTGAAGGCCTGGAGTTAACGCCAGGAGCACAGAGAGCAAGTGGGCCACTGCCCGTCCAGTGTGTCAGAGCAGCTCTAGGTGAGACTGTCATGATACTCAGGAGGTGTGATGAACACGCCCTTTTGCTCTGTTCTTTCTCTTTGAACTTGTGTTGCTGAGTAGGAAATTGAAGGATGTCCCATTACTGCCCTCCTTGGATTATGAGAAACTGAAGAAGGATTTGATTTTGGGGAGTGACCGCTTGAAAGCCTTCTTGTTGCAGGCTCTGCGCTGGGTAAGTACCTTTTTCCTGAAGTTAAAAAAAAAAAGGGGCTTCCCTGATGGTGCAGTGGTTGAGAGTCCACCTGCCAATGCAGGGGACACGGGTTCGTGCCCCAGTCCGGGAAGATCCCACATGCCGCGGAGCGGCTGGGCCCGTGAGCCATGGCCGCTGAGCCTGCGCGTCCGGAGCCTGTGCTCCGCAGCGGGAGAGGCCACAACAGTGAGAGGCCCAGGTACCGAGAAAAAAAAGAAGAAGACCATGCTGGTTTTCTTGTCTGGCTGCCTTGCCTGTATCTTTTAACCCATCTTCTCAAAATCTTTCTTCATGCTTCCTGCTGACACCAAGAGTGAAAATGAAAAGCAGCTTCTGAAGATCACTGTGGTCTCTTTTAAAAAACCCCTATGTTGGCGTCACAGCTGCCATTACCTTCACTCGATGATTTGATACATGATGATTTGGTACATGTAGTTTCAAGGCCCCGGAGACGTCCTGGCATCTGGCCCTTCCCTGGTCCTGAGCCAGACTCACAGCTGGTGGTGTCAGTGTTTTAGAGCACGAGTCCCGCTCACACTGACCCCCGCAGACACCTCTGGATTTAGGTATTCCCGCGCAGCCACACAAGCAGGCATCAAGGGTGAAAACTTATTAACAAGTCTTTAAGGAAAATAGAGTGTAATCTAAATAGTTGCTTTTCTGAGAATTCCCTGGTGGTCCAGTGGTTAGGACTCCACGCTTCCCCTGCAGGGGCACAGGTTCGATCCCTGGTCAGGGAACTAAGATCCCGCAAGCCACGCGCGCAGCCAAAAAAAAAAGAAAAAAGAAAAAAAGCCTTCGTTTAAATAAATAAATGGTTGCTTTTCTCGCCAATTTTCAGATTGATCACAGTTAAGGCAGTGGTTCTCAAGCTTTCTGGTCCCAGACCTCTTGACACTGTCAAAAATTACTGAGGAACCCAAAGAGCTTTTGTTTATGTAAATTTTTTTTTTTTTTTTTTTTGCGGTATGCGGGCCTCTCACTGTTGTTGTGGCCTCTCCCGTTGCGGAGCACAGGCTCCGGATCCGCAGGCTCAGCGGCCATGGCTCACGGGCCCAGCCGCTCTGCGGCATGCGGGATCTTCCCGGACCGGGGCACGAACCCGTGTCCCCTGCATCGGCAGGCGGACTCTCAACCACTGTGCCACCAGGGAAGCCCTTGTTTATGTAGATTTTATCTACCAAAGTTTCACAGTATTAGAAGTTAAAGCTGAGAAAACGTAAAATATATATTTATTAATTCATTTAAGATGAACAGTAATAAACCGAGGACATAACATAACATATTTTTTATGAAAAATAACTAGTTTCCAAACTAAAAAAAAAATTAGCGAGAAGACTGACATTGTTTTACACTTTTATAAATTTCTTTAATGTCTGGCTTAATGGAGGGCAGCTGGGTTCTCATCTCTGCCTCTACATTCAGTTTGTCACAGTATCTATCACACTTCATATGACCTCTGAGAGGTTGATCATTAAAAAGACAAAACATGCCTTAGTATTATTATGAAAATAATTGTGACCTTCTAGACTACCCTGAAGGGACTCTCCAAGTGTAGTATGGGAAACCCTTCTAGATCCCCAGGGTTCCCCAGACTACATTTTGAGAACTGCTGGCCTAAGTCAACACTGGTTCACTCTTTTTTTTTTTTTTAATTTTTATTGGAGTACAGTTTATTTATTTATTGGGCTCTCTCTAGTTGTGGCAAGCGGGGGCTACCCTTCGCTGCGGTGCGTGGGCTTCCCATTGCAGTGACTTCTCTTGCTGCAGAGCACGGGCTCTAGGTGCACAGGCTTCAGTAGTTGTGGCATGCGGCTCTAGAGCGCAGGCTCAGTAGTTGTGGCACACAGGCTCAGTAGTTTTGGCGCACGGGCTTAGTTGTTCTGCGACATGTGGGATCTTCCCGGACCAGGGCTCGAACCCGTGTCCCCTGCATCGGCAGGCGGATTCTTAACCCCTGGGCCACCAGGAAAGTCCCTGGTTCACTCTTTAACTGAACAAGCTATTCTAATTCACCTTGAAATAGCGTCAAACCCCTTCATGGATCCCCAAATTTCAGGTTATCTTGACGTCCAAATGCCTCTGAGTGATTTCCCCATCTCTCTGGAAAGCACTTGCACTCTGATGGTTGGCAGTGCTTCCGGGAATGTGGTCTGGAGGAGCACTCTGAGGACGCTCCAGGATCAGCAGGAAGAGTCCTGGGGCCAGTGTGTCTGCTCTGGTTTTGTTGACTAGAGTGGGTGGGGTGGCGTGAGTAACCGCTAGTGGCTGTCCCTGCCCGGAGGTTTGCCGCTGCTCCAGTTACCAGCCTCCCTTTGGTTCTTCGATTATCCGCCGGGCACTTGCTATCGGTCCATGCTATTAAGCCTCTTGGCGAGACAGGATGTTCCTTTGCTGAATGAATGTCATAGAACAAGCAGGAAAAATAAAGAGATCCTTGTGATTCTGTCTGAGACCCCTCCAGACCCTCACCCCTCCACCCCCTCACCCCTCCACCCCAGCCCAGCAGTAGCCTCCGAACTCACCAGAAGGGCGGCAGCCCCTGTGACCATGTAAAGCCCGTGGGTGAGAAGGCGGGAAGAGCAGCAGACTGTCTGGAACCCAAAGGTGGAGGTCCTGAGAGGCCGGTGTCCCGGAGAGGTGGGACCCACTGCGGCCAAGGAGGGAGGCCCTGGGGGAAGAGAGGACCGTATGCAAGGAGGGCGGTGCCAGGGGTGCCACACACGCACACGCACACACAGTATCCGCAGTGCTGCTGTGCCAGCCCCTGTGGGATGGGTCTGCTCTGTGCGCCTGGCGCTCATTCACGGCCCCCCCGTCGGGCACCATGCAAAGGCACCCTGTGTTTTCACACCCCCCTCGGCTGGACCACACGTCCCCAGCCCCCACTGCGCTCACATCCCCCCGTGCTGCCCAATAGTCTGCTCGTCCTTCGGGTACCAACTCTTGAGCCACTTACGGCAAAAAAAAAAAAAAAAAAAAAGCCCTCTCCAGGCGTTGGTGTGCTGTCTCTTATCTGCTCCCTTACAGTCCAGTCCAATACAATCCTTCACTGCTCTGGAGGTTACATGTGTAAGCTGACTCCTGCATCGCCCATTCAGAAGTACGTTGTAATTTTTTGTTAACTGACTTGTTGGCTGGTTGGCCACCCGGCTGGGTATTACTCACCTTGTTTGGTGAAATGCATAGTTACTGGTGCTGCCAGTTGCGGGAACAGTTTCCTCCACATCGACACTTGGGTCCTGTTGCCCTTGTTTTTCTTCACTCTAGCGCTTGACCACATCACACCCTGGAGAGCAGAGGGAGACCGTTCTGCAGGCCTACATCAGCAACGACCTCTTGGACTGTCACAGCCATAGCCAGGTGGGTGAGAGAGGGGCCAGCGCCCAGCCAGGGCCTGCATTTCTGGGAAGGATCTTAGAAGGAGGAGGCTTTCATTTCTATGCATATCTTCATCGTAGTGACTGTATGTCAGCCTGGGGCTTCTGTTAGCTTCCGAAATCTGCTGTCCACCCTGGACACTGGCCCACTTTTCACTTCTAATGCAGAGTCCTAAACAAGCTAGTACTGCTTGATTCAACTCCGGAGCCCTTTCCTGCCATTTTTCCTTTTCTCAAATTCCCCGCTCTTTCCCTCACCCCACTGCTTACCATGAGTCCTGAAAACTCAGCATGACTTACAAGGGGCAAGGCAGGTAAGCAGATTCAAGTTGTTTTCATCTGGGCCTGACTTAAAAAGTGTCTTGGGCTTCCCTGGTGGCGCAGTGGTTGAGAGTCCGCCTGCCGATGCAGGGGACACGGGTTCGTGCTCCGGTCCGGGAAGATCCCACGTGCCGTGGAGCGGCTGGGCCCGTCAGCCGTGGCCTCTGAGCCTGCGCGTCCGGAGCCTGTGCTCTGCAACGGGAGAGGCCACAGCAGTGAGAGGCCCGCGTACCGAAAAAAAAAAAGTGTCTTCAACACTCTTTGTATATAGCTTTGGACCAGATAGGTCTAATGGTGCAGTGGGAAAAGTATGGGGTTTAGAGGGAGATAAACTGGTTTCAAATCTCTGCCCCACCGACTATTGGCCAGATACCCTTAAGCAAATTTCTCAGTCTCAGGGAGATTTCCACCACCAAGAAGGGGCCATCACCTGCCTCGTGAGGTTGTTGGGATGGCTGCATGCGGTCACGTGTGGGAAGAACTTAACCCAGGGCCCAGCTCGGAGGAGTCCTCCTCCCGCCTCCTCATCCCTCTTCCCCAGGGTTCTCAGCACCTGGCCTCCTACCGAAGGAGGATCGACAGCTTGAACATGCCCTATGCAGAGAAGATACTGCATCTCATTATTTCAGTTTCATCCAAAATGCTCTAAAAACTTCATCTCCCTACTGTTAGGCTTCACAGCGTGTGCCCTGAGTGCAGTATCAATACCTCTCGGGATCGCTGATGAAACAGCCCCGGAGAAAGCTTGTTGCGCGTAATCTGTTGTGTGCACAGGCGACAACATTTAAGGGTTTTGAGTTTCTTCTTTGTACACAATCGTATTGTTCCCATGAAACAGTTAAGTATGAAAAATAAGTCCCTCAAATTCTTATTTTCTTTTCCTTTTTTTTTCTGTTGGTATTTGTAATGGCACGGAAACCAGCCTATAAGACACGAAGCAGCTGAAGAATATACTGTCATGACTTAACGAACTCAAATTCAAAGAGTGAATTCAATACTGATTCTTTCTGAACTGTGATATTTCATTGAATCTAAGATGTAATTTCTCCCCCCATTTTAGCATTTCCGAAACTGGGGTGTATCTAATAGCCGATGGCCTGTTACAGTTTACCTTGCAGTGCTTTTTTCTTTCTTGGTTATATATAAAAAAAATAATATGTCCTCCTATGAAAGGTGTCTTAGGTTTTGTGATATATGATATTTGTCAAAATGCCGAAATCTTTATAGCCACTGAAGATGTCATATCTTCCTCAGGTCATTATTTTTAATTGCTATCGCTTATTTATTTTTTTTAATAAGGAATGAGCTGGAGTTAGCTTAAGATGTCAGAGAATCTGCAGAGCAGGAGAACTCCTTGGGAAATATAGGTGCCGTGTCACCATGACACCAAAATAAATTGGGAGATACATATATATATATATATATATATATATATATATATCCCACGTTTTGTTTATCGACTGATCAACAGACACTTGAGTTACCTCTACCGTTTGGCTGTTGTAAATAATGCTGCATTGAACATGAGTGTGCACACCCTCACTTTTGTCTCAATCAGTTCCTTGCTTTTCTTTTTAGTGTCCTCATTTGCATGTGTACCCTGAATAATATAGTGTTTGATTTGGGGTTTGCTGAGTGGCAAGCACAGACCTTGCTCTGCAAGGAAAGGGTACTGTTCCCATGTTAGATGAAGGCACCTAGGGGAAGATGACATGAATAAAATTGCTGGATTATAATCAGGCGTAGCTTCCCTGGGCTCTTAATGGTCCCCTCTGGGGACATTGGTAATCAAAGTCAGGAGAGAGTCCCAGGAAGCACAGGGCCTCTGGCAGGGCTGAAAGGTAGGCCAGGTACTGGTTATCCAGCAGCAATATGTATGGCCAAGGGGAATGGTGAGCCGCTCTGTAATTTGGGTTTTTAAGCTTGCCTCGTCTGCTTCTAGTTCTCAGGAGCTGATCACACGAGAACACTTCTGTGGGGATGAAAAGACTTTCCACAGCTGATCCACACAGCAGGGTGTGAATGGGGGAGCTGGAGCTTCATCAGAACAAGGGCAGGGGTATCCAAGTGTGGATGAGTCTGGGCTCACCTTACCGAGGTAGTTTGCACTCTATTTGAAAATACGTTACATGGTGCACTACTTTGGATCCCTGGCCGTATTTGCTAAAACTGCACAATCTGTGTCCTAGCAAAACCACTCCTAAGTATAACCCCAACAGAAATGTGTCCATACGTTCAACTAAAAGATGTGTAAGAATGCTCATAGCAGCACTATTTATAAGAATCAAAACACTGGCTATAACCCAAATGTCCCATCAAGAGTAGAATGGATAAATCAACTGGGATATATTTGTAAAATGAGATGTATTGAGCAATGGGAAGGAGCACACAGCATCCAACACGGATGACTCTCACAGACATAATACTGAATGAAAGAGTCAGACGTAAAAGAATACATACTGCATGACTTTACTTATTAAAAAATTTAAAAACGGACAGAACTAACCTACGATATAAGAAGCCAGGAGAGATATTGCCCTTAATTTGGAAAGGGACCCCGGAAGGGTGTCTGGGGCTTTGGTAATGTTCTGTTTCTTTTTTTTTTTTGCTGTACGCGGGCCTCTCACTGTTGTGGCCTCTCCCGTTGCGGAGCACAGGCTCCGGACGCGCAGGCTCAGCAGCCATGGCTCACAGGCCCAGCCGCTCCGCGGCACGTGGGATCTTCCTGGACCGGGGCATGAACCCGTGTTCCCTGCATCGGCAGGCGGACTCTCAACCACTGCACCACCAGGGAAGCCCAATGTTATGTTTCTTGATTTGACTACCGGTTACCCACGTGTCGTCAAGCTGCACACTCATGATCTGGGCAATATTCTGTATGGATGTTATATTTCAATAAAAATTTTACCTAAATGAATATGGTACAGTGGCAATAGGCATCTTGGGGATGACAGCCTTTGGTATGTCACTCTCCTGAGTCAGTCATTCAGCCTGTACTGGTGGCCCTCCACATCTGGGGCACAGCTGCCTTCCAGAAATCTCTTTTCACCAAACGTATGTTGATTCCTTGCAGCCCTTTCCTGAATTGGATCTCTGTTTCCAATATTCAGTATTGTCTTCTTGGTGAAGCCTTTAGTTAATAGCTTCTAGAAAAAGGATGGATGGGAAGTATATTTTTCAAGACTGTGTATGTCTGAAATCATTATTCTTTGTATAGAACTCTGGGCTGTAAATAATTATCCTTCAGAATTTTGAAGATATTGCTTCATTGTCTTTTAGGTTCCAGTGTTGCTGTTGAAAAGTCCCAAGCCATTCTAATTCCTGACCCTTTGTATGTGACCTGTTTTTTTCTCTCTAGAAACGTGTTGAATCTTTTCTTTTTCACCAGTGTTAATGAATTTCCCATTGATGCCTTTCATGATGTGTGTTTGATTCACTGTTTTGGGCACTTTGTGACCCCTTTCAATCTGACAACTTTAGTTTTGGGAACTTTTCTTGAGTTGTTTTGTTGACGATTTCCTCTCTTGTTTTCTCTGTTCATTCTTTCTGAATGTTGGGCCTCTTGAACTGGTTCTCTAATTATCTTTTTTCTCATATTTTTCATTTTGTTCCACTTTCTGGGAGATTTCCTCATCTTTATTTTCCAACCCTCCTGTAGAGTTTTTCATTTCCCTTTTTTGTGTTTTTTTGTTTTTTTGTAGCATTCTGTTGTTTCATGGATACAGTTATCTCTCTGAGGATATTAATGACAAATTTTTGTCTATTTTTAGTTTTCTTCTCCCTGCACAGTCTCATTTCCTCCAAGTTGCTTCTCTCCCCTGCCCCATTTGTTTTGGCCTTATTTTCCATGTTAGAAACTTTCCTTGAGTTCCTGGTAGACCTTGGTTATCTCCTAATGTTCAGAGTGGAGGGACTGAAAAGCTGACTGGCCGTTCTGAAGGTGAGGGTCAGGCCTGTAGGCATAGAGCTCCACTGAGGGTGACCCTCGTGGGCCATCTATTGGGAACCTCTGATTTCAGGAACTTTAGTTCTTTCCCTGTTTCCAGGGCTGGTCATTCTCCTCCAGGAAGTGTCTTCTAATCTGCCTAGAAGGTAACAGTCTGGTTGGCAGTGTTCCGAGAGCCAGGTAGGGGAAGAGGATGGGGGTGGCTCTCTGTCGAGCGTTTATCCTGCTTTTAGGCACCACTCCTGCTCCATTTTGGTGTGGCAGCCCTGCTCCCCTGTGCCTGCTGTCCTCCGTCCAGAGACCTTTTGTGTTGCCCTCAAAAGAGAGCGCTCCCAGATGTGTGATGGGAGGTGCACGGGAGGACAGCTGTGCAGGAGCAGCGCGGGGGGGACCTAGCTGCTGCCTCCACAGCTTTCATTCCTTCTTCTTGATTTCCCCCCAGTTCTTGAGACTTCTGAAGATTGCGTGACGTAAGCTGGGTGATTCCTCATTGCCCGCTTGGCGTTCTTGGGTCTGCTAAGTTTGTTACCATCCTGCATTCATGATTCCAAGATTGTGTTGTTATAGTTTCTTGTGCTGTCCTCTCTGTCCTTGAAGATTTGTCTCCTTAAACTGTAGTTTTATGGTGGTTTTGGAGGGAGCGAAGTTAGACGAGTGTTGGATCAATTGTTCTACCTGGAAAGACGTCAGCAACAGTAATAGCAAGTAGTGTTGCTTACTCGGTGCCAGTCACCATTCTAAGTGCTTCAAATCATTAATTCTTCTAAATTTGGAAGTCTGAAAAACATATTTTTTTGCCAACTCTCGGAAAAAAAGTCAGTTGGAAATCAAGACTGAATCACCTCTAATAAGTTCACTCAGAGGAAGAGAACAGCAGACCTGCGGAGGAGACATATGCTTCTCTCTCACTTTTCTTTCACTTCATTGCTTTTCCTCTTTTGATATATATATATATTTTTAATTTTTTTATTTTTCTCTCCCATAGAGGAGTGTGCTGCAGCTGCTGCACTCAAAGAGCGAGGTGGTGCGGCAGTACATGGCCAGGCTCGTCAACGCTTTTGCATCCCTGGCAGAAGGTGAGACGGCAGCTCTACTTGCCGACTGAGGGAAAAAAATGAAAAGCTGAGAATTATGTTTTATTTGGTGGACAAAACTGAAGACTTAAGCCCGGATGCAGCGTCTTACATAGCTCAGAGGGACTGCTCTGAAGAGGCAAGGGGGGAGCCAGGGTATAAAAGAGTTTTTGCAGCAAAGATGAGGTAGACAGAGCATCAAAAGCTTACTGTTAAAGAAAACCAGACAACTCAAGTTAAGGAATTCAGCACTTTTCTGTGTACGGGAAGATGCAAGAGTCTGGGCTCACTGAAATCATTCCTTTGACAGGCACCTCAGCGATCTAGGGCCATATCCTGTGCTTTCCCATCCTGAACCTCTTCAGGGTGCACCGCTGGGGGTGGCTGCAGGGGCTGAGGGCTTGGCAGTGGGCAGCCCGTTGGTCTCCATCCTGAGCTTCCTCAGGGCTCACCGTCCAGAGTGGCTGCAGTGGCTTGATGGCTGCAACATCCTTTGCTTACTGATACGGCAGGCAACATTTTGTTTTTCATTGATACCTTCCAAGGGAAGAGCTAGGTCTTGTGGATGTGTTTTTCCCTGTGAAAACACATTCTTCCCCAAGTTTCTTAGCAATGACATGTGATTCCTCAGTTTATTACTGTTTAATGCATCTAAGGTCTTTTGAAAAACTTAGTTGTTGTCATATTGCTGTAACTTATGTCAGAGCAAATTTTGATGGTTTGGGAGTTTATTTTGTTAGCCTTTGGTTTTATTTTGTAAACTTTCTGGTATTGTAACGTAGTACTTTTTAGATTGCTCTCAAGATAGCAGGTAACGCATTTTTTATCATTTTCTACTTAAGGCCAAATAAGGTTGGTGAAATAAAGTGATCCCAGTAAGCACTATACCATGTCTTTCAAAACACTAATCCTTTTAAATCAAGAGGTGAAAATTCCCAAAATAACATGCCACCATAATTTAATTCAAAATGATTTTACAAAATGCCATTACCTCCCATAAATTCTAATTTGTTTGAGCTCTTTTTAACACGAATAATGGGAGTTTTAAATTGTGACTGTATGACACTCCAGAAGTTTTTTCATTCATTTGTTTGTTGTTCCAGCCATTTAACAAACATTTTATGATAAGCCAGGGTATGTGCCAAGGACCATTCATATAATGTGGTTGAACTTTATGTCTGAAATTAATGTCATCTGTATCAAGATACAAGTTCACGACAGGCTAGTGATAGGGTCCCAGATATGGTTCCTAACTTCTTCTCCAGGCCATGGGTGTGTCCAGAAAGCACTACTGGGCTGCCTCTACTGTTAAGACTAAGAGGTTCATAACACACAGATTCATCACCACCTTTTTCCTTGTGATCTGACTTTTGGGTTCAAGATTTTGGGTAGGGACTTCCCTGGCGGTCCAGTGGTTGGGACTTTGCCTTCCAGTGCAGGGGGTGTGGGTTCAATCCCTGGTTGGGGAGCTAAGATCCCACATGCCTCACGACCAAAAAACTAAAACATAGAACAGAAGCAGTATAGTAACAAATTCAATAAAGACTTTAAAAACAAAAAATGGTCCACATCAAAAAAAATCTTAAAAAAAAAAAAAAGATTTTAAGTAAATAAAAGACAGTGCTCTGCACAAGAACACGGTGATGAATCATGTTTAGATGACAGGAAAAGTGGTTTTCCATTCATTAGATAGTTGATTGAGTAAAACCAACTTGCAGTTGAAATATGCTTTAATAAGTTTTCTAGAACATAAAATTACCCAAACTCTCTACGTGTGTTATATGCAAAGTTTTCATAGAAAGTGGTTTTGGAGCATGAACTTAACACAAGATAAACTCTCTCCCTTGTTCATCTCCGGTTATATTATTAGGTCGCCGCTACCTTGCCCAGAGCACAAAGGTGCTGCGGATGCTGGAAGAGAGGCTGAAGGAGGAAGACAAGGACGTCATCACCCGGGAGAACATCCTCGGGGCCTTGCAGAAGTTCAGCCTCAGGTGCTGACCGTGCAGTAGGTCATGGTGGCGCCTGTGAAATCAACTTGGGGGTTTCTTAGCCACTGTTTTGTGCTTATTTGGTCCCAGTGACAATCCAAGATGCAGGTGATATTTTTCAGTGAATGCTTAGAAGAGGTTGGGTGACTTTCTGAAGAAGAGCTGGAAGGCGTACCTCGGATCCACTAAACCATCCTGCTCCTACGCTTTAAAGCACTGGTATATTCTCCTAATGACCATTATCTCGTGCTGACCAGGTGCTAGATGCTAGATTGTGTGTCTCAGGCCACGTGCAAGGTTTGGAGATAAGCACATGAATGCACCCCGAGAGAGCCTCCACCTGCAAGTTCACTGTGGGGGAGGCACGTGTAGATGCGCAGTCACAGTCGGGGGGTGGGTAGGTCGCTTTGTGGAAGTCAGGGGTGGAGCCTCCTGGTTCCTGGTCACCCATCTCAGCCGCCTGCGCTGTAGTCTCAGCCTGGACCTGGTCGTGACTTGGGAGTGCTCCACATTCCAGATTTAAAACTCAGACACCTCTTCTGGAAGCAGATCTGACGTCCTCCCAGAGCCTTTTTTTTTTTTTTTTTTTTCTAAATTGGCAGCATTATTAAGGTGTATTTTACATACCACAAAATTTACCCCTTTTAAGTGTACAGTTCAATGATTTTTGGTATATTCACCGAGTTGTACAACCATCACCACAGTCTAATTTTAGAACATTTCCATCACCACAGAAAGAAACTTCCTGCTTATTTGCAGTCACTTTTCATGCTTATCCCTCTCACCCCAGGTAACCACCACTCTGGTTTCTGTAGATTTACCTGTACTGGTGTGGTCTTTTGTGACTGGCTTCTTTCACTTGGCATAATGTTTTTGAGGTTCATACAAGTAGCATGTACCAGTACTTTGTTCCTTTGTGTTGCCGAATAACATTCCATTACGTGGACAGACCACATTTTGTGTATTCATTCGTCAGTTGATGATATCTTGGTTGTTTCTACTTTTTGGCTATTACGCATAATGCTGCTATGAACATTTGCATACACGTCTTTGTGTAGACCCATGTTTTCTTTTCTCCTGGGTAGGTATCTAGGAGTGGAATTGCTGGGTCATATGCTACTTCTCCCAGAATCCATATTCCCTGATGACCACCTGACTTTCTCGTTGACTACTAAGAATTTTAGTACCTTGAGTCCCTAACTTTTTCTCTCAGTCCCTAACTTTTTCTTCCCACCAGATGTGGTTAACATCTGACTGACTCTCACTAATAAACTAAAACCTGAAAGGGGACATATTCTAAGTGTGTGTATGTTTTGTGGGGGGAAAGCTCTAGATATGTAGTTCCTACTATTTGCCATGTCCCTGCTGATGAAGGTTTCTCGTTCTACCTATGAATTGAAAGAACTATAAATAACCTCCAGAGTTATTACTTCCTCAGATCATAGGAACATGTTTCTGTCTGTTTATAAAGATGATTTAGCTTGATGTTGACTGTATTTGAAAAACTTTTAGAAATTGAATAACTTCAGTTATTATAGTGCTTAGTCCCGTCAATTCTTAAGGTTGACGTGACAACAGCCACTGTAACACATTACGATGAGGCATTGAATTTTGTAAGAGTTTACACCTGGACCTTGGGTAGAAAATAATTCCATATAAATTGTATTACCCAGGTTACTAAACTAGCCTTACTCTATAGAGATCTGAATCAAAACGGTATTGAGCTGGTTTTATATGAGCTGGTCTTCTTTTTTGTGTTTCTTTACTTTTACATAGCTCAGAGTGCCTAAACTACATTATATAGACTAGACTTCAGGTAAAAATCTGTTTGTCAGTGAACCATTTCTATGACTCTGTTTCCTGGGTTAAGTAGACCAAAAGCTATCAGTAAATATTTATTAAGTATTTGAAGTAATACGCTGCTAATTCTAAATATTGAAAAGGAAACTTTCAGAGTAGGAAGTCTCCTTACTGCCTTATTTTTCTTTAAACCTTCAGTAACATCCTTGAAAGGTAAAGAATTTATTGTTGTAGTTTCCGTTGTACAGGTCTAACAGTAAGATATTCGCCAGGGTCCGTAACTTCTGTGAAGGTTCTTTTCTGATAGGCATTCACACTACCATGTACTGTCACATGAAAGGTTTCCTGCTAACTCCCCGCAGGCTGTCTCATCCTAGGCGCCCACTGCAGACAGCGATGATTCAAGATGGCCTCATCTTCTGGCTGATTGACGTCTTGGAGGAGCCTGACTGCCTGTCAGACTACACGCTTGAGTACTCGGTGGCCCTGCTCATGAACCTCTGCCTCCGGAGCACAGGTCTCACTGTTGCCGTCCCCCTGCCCCCAGGTTCTGGAGTGCCCACGAGCCTGATGTGGTCTGCCTTCCGTTTCCCTCCCAGAAAACTCAAAACAGAAAAAGAGTGAAGCATGTCCAGCTAGGTATAAAGCTATTGAATCCCTAAAGCCAAGATACCACTCTGGCCTTGGAAAGAATAATTTATACATATATGTATGTATATATATATATGCAGAACCCACATTAAGAGGAGATTGAATTACATTACGTTTTTCTTCATTTTCATTGCATTATTCAAAGGTAGGAAGTGAAGAGTTATGATCTGTTTTATCTGAAGACAGAGAGGTATGTTCCCAAGATTCCACAGGATTAAGGTGGTGACAGAGCAGTGACATTAAACCAGGCTTCCTGCTCTTAATCACAGTCGCCTTCCCCACTCCACCTCGTACAGACAGCGATTCCCATGTGACATCTCAGGTCATTTATGTCTTGATCAATAAAGGGAGTGATTTTAGCTTTCCTGCAGGTTCCATCCCGCTTAAATGATCTGTTCCCTGGGATGGAAGAAGCTTCCTTGGAGAGGTGCCACGTCCAGCCCATGGCTGACCTCTGTCTGAGAAGGTGTTGAGAAGGCGTTGGGAGAAGGTTACCTGGATAAATAGCTCAGGGATATTTGTTAGAAGCTCCTTCACCCTCAGACGCCTTGGAATCTGAACCACCTAACTGTGTGTTGTTGACTGACTAAATGACTTCTATCTTCTCTTTTAAAAAAATAGCATATGCAAATTTCCTAGCTTTAAAACATTTATCAGATTATAATCGGCTTGTCTTTATTATCATCAGTTTATTTGCAATGATTGTCATGATGATGTTTGGAATTCCTGAAATAGCTGGAGGATTTTTAAGTGATGGCCTGTGCACTTGGGAGGAGAGCGTGGCCCTTTGACTCATCGTGCTTTCGGTGTAGTGAACAGCTCTGACCTCCTGAATAATAAGAACCGCCTCCACTTACTGAGCACTGGGAGTGTGCCGCCCTATACTGAGCCGCCGGGACTTCCCTGGCGGTCCAGTGTTTAAGACTCCGCGCTTCCAATGCAGGAGGCTCAGGTTTGATCCCTGGTCGGGGAACTAGGGTCCCACATGCCATGGCGCTCGGCCAAAAAAACACAAAAAACTGATGCTCTCTTTCTGTCTCATGGTCCTGTCTCCTTTTCTCACATTGCTTTGGGAAACTTTAGTGTTCACACCCTGAGATATACTGAGCTACTCAATTCCACATCGCCCTTTGAGGTGGACATTATAATCCCCAAGGGGCCCCAGAGGAAGAAATTGGGCCCCCAGTCGGTGAAGTGACTCACCCAAGGTCACACAGCTCACAGGCAGAGGAGCCAAGGTTCATATTCAAGTCTGCCTGACCTGAAACTGTGCCTCTGAGTTTAGACATGTCCTGTTTTGTTTCTCTCTTTTTCTCCTAAAGGGAAGAACATGTGTGCCAAGGTGGCGGGCCTCGTGCTGAAAGTTCTTTCGGATCTGCTCGGCCATGAAAACCGTGAGGTACCCAGTCAGCGCCGTAAACCCCGGGCTTGGGGGAGGGTGGCCCGGGGTACTTACTGCACTTGCCCTCTTCCAAGTATTTGTATAAGCTACGTCAGAGCTTTTATCATTTTTAAATTCTGGAACCCAGAGCAGGAGGCTGTTCCCTGGCTTCCCGTTTGTGAGCACAACTGCCGTTCGCTGGCCTGTACTGCTCCCTCCCGGGGGTTATTTTTTCCTCCTGGTCATCTCCCCCTGCTTCACTCCTCCCCCCATGTTGACACTCCTCTGTTGGGTTTAATATATGTCCATAGACACGTATGTAACATGAAAATATATTTAATATTATGGGTGTGCTCAATTTGTATAAATAACATTGCCCTCTAAATCTCATCCTTTTCTTCCATTTTCACTGTGTCTTTAGGACCTTTCTCTGTTGCTTTCTGTACGCCTAGGTCCTTAACTCTTGCTGCTGCACAGCAGCCCCTTGTTGGCAGCCTTGCCGTTTCACTTATCCAGTCCCCCAAGCATGCCCTGTTTGCTTGCCTTCACCCTTCTGTGCCACAGCCGTCCTTGGCGGACGTGGCCGCACTTCCCCCTCGAGGGCCCGAGCCGGAGCTTCCCTGGGGCGTAGACACTTGTCACTGCTGGCTCACCCCATATGTCAGTCTTGGGTCAGAGTCCTGCAGAGCTGTCCTCAGGATGGCCGTCCTGGCTTCTGCTCTCATCCGTGTGGCGTTCTAGCCAATTGGAGGCAAGCCCTTTATAAATAAAATAGAGGTCTGGATCAGCTAACACACACTATGATTATTCTCTCACCCGCTTTCTACGAATGCCTTTGTGGAAACCATGACATCACTTTGCACCTGAAGCCAAAACCTCCACAGAGATCTGCCCTCTTTAGCCGGCTCTTGATATACGTTAAGAGTCAAACAGAGAAAAAGCCAACAGGAAAAAAAGGACAAAGTGTATAAATGGACAGTTTACAGAACAGTAAATCTTGATGGTCTGTAAATATGAAAAGATCTTCAATTTTGCTAGTAGTCAGGGAAATGAAAATAAACACAACTGTAGGATGTCTTCTCTTACCCATTAGATTAGCAGAAATGAAAAGTGGTAATAAATCCAGCTCTGGAAAAGGGTGGTGGGAAATGAGACCTCCCCCATTGCTGTGGAGAGTGTATGTAGCACGCAGTCCACTCGAAAGGGAAAGCCCGTTTATCAAGCGGCTGCCATGTACCATGTCCTGTCTGGCTTGATGTTAGGGTTACTTATGTGAGTAAAACATGGGTCCTGTCCCTGAAGAGCTCATGGAGAGACATAAGTATAAGTTTAAAAATATACTAAATCCTGGGAGTTAGCTGGTGGCCTAGGGGTTAGGATTCTGGGCTTTCACGGCCGTGGCCCAGGTTTAATCCCTGGTCAGGGAACTGAGATCCTGCAAGCCGTGCAGTGCAGCAGATAAATAAATAAATACTGAATCCAGCGCAGAAGCGGAGGGAGGTATGTACAGGGAGCAGAGCAGCCTGTCTGGGGGCTTAGGAAAGGCTTCCTCTGAGGTATGTCTGAGCTGAGTTTTATTTTTTAATTAATTATTTATTTATTTATTTTATTTTGGCCACACTGTGTGGCCTGTGGGATCTTAGTTCCCTGACCAGGGATTGAACCCGCACCCCTTGCACTGGAAGCGTGGAGTCTTAACCGCTGGACTGCCAGGGAAGCCCCTGAGCTGAGTTTTAAAGGATGAACCATAGGTTTCCAGATAGACCTATATGGGAAGAGCATTCCCAGCAAGATGAGCTGCTAGAACCAGGCCAGGGCATGTCACAGCGTGCTGGCGGGGGGCCGGGGGGCAGTCCCTTAAGTGGAATCTGTGTAGTGTGAATTCCAAGTGGCAGGAAGGAAGGAGCAGAGGGGGATGATATAGAGGCCAAACCTTGAAGGGCCCTGTGTCCTACAGTAAGGAGTTAGGACTTTCCAGGTAGTTTCTACAGAAGGTTCCCAAGGTCGGGGGAGGGATGATTTGGCCCATGCTGTAGAATCTTGGCAATGATATGATGGTTGGGTTAAAGGGTGAACATAGAAGGCAGAGAGACCCTTTTGGAAGTCTCATGTAGCCTAGGTCATGGACGATGATGTCTGAACAAGGACTGTAGCGGCACCTATGGAAAAGATGGGTTCCCACTAAAGATGGCTTGGACACCCAACATTGGAGGGTAAGAAGAGAGAGGAATCAGTGATGCCTCCAAAGGTTCTAGCCTGAGTCATCAGGATGACATTAATTCAGCAATGACATGTAACGGGAGTAAACTTTGGGAGAGAACGATGCCCTTGGTTTTGAACTCTTAGTTTTAGCTGTTGCCCTGGGCCGTGCCAGTGGAGATGTCTGTCATTTTGGAGACCTGCATCCTGGAGCTCAGGGAGCTGTGAAGGTGGCAGTGTTCGCCAGCCAGGCTGTTCTCAAGGGTAGTGTGTGATGTTTGAGTTGTATGGTATTTGAGAACCTGAAAATGACTGTTTTTTCTCCCCTTAAAGATACAGCCGTATGTGAATGGAGCTCTGTACAGCATCCTTTCTATTCCATCCATTCGTGAAGAAGCAAGAGCAATGGTAAGAAAACGTGCTGTGGGGTTGGTCAGCTTCTGTCAGTGCCACGTTCAGAGGCTTTTAGAATAAGGGGTTCCTGACGGGGCCCCAGGGAAGGGCTTCAGATAGCTTCTGAACTCCCTGAAATTGTATCCCAAATACGTATTTGCAGTTTTCTGGGGAGAGAGTTTGTGGTTTTTATCAGATTCTCAAGGGGTCCCAGCCGACAGGATTAAGAACCACAGCGTCAGAAGTTCCTAGAAGGTTTATTTTTTGGAAAGTGGTAGACATTTTTAAAAATTTAAGTGACTCATTTTAATTGGGGGCTTTGGGAATGCTTACGGATTTCACAGTAGGAGAAACTTGGCAAGAAAATGATGAAACGGAGAAACATCATCACCCAAATTCACCTCCAGGCTTCCTGGAGGATTGTAGCAGTGAGACCTGGGGCAATCAAAACACTCCTCTAATCCGCAGGCATTCTGATAGCAACCATGTGGAACTGATAAAACTGCCTGGCTGGAAAAGAGTTAACTGAATATTTAATGTGTTTACTTTAGTGTTTATATTGGAAGCATAAAACAAACCTCAGGTGATTAGCATCTTCTTTTGAGATGACAAACGTTTCTAGATCTAATCAAAACCATTGGAGTTTTGTCCTTTTTCCTTATGACATGTGAAACCGTGTGTGCGTATTAAATGCTTAGAATGAAGGGATTAAATATATTTCCATCATCAAAACACAGGCTAAATTCAGTTTGAGAGCAATGAAGCATGTTCTTCCACTTGGCTTTGCTTACTTAGAAGAATTACTAAATCTTCTAATGGGTCATCTACAGTTACATCAGCAGTTATGCCAGAGACAAAAACTTATTTAAGATCCATTCTGTGTGGTCACGGTAAACAATGAAACTTAATTGCCTACTGCTTTTTTTTTTTTTCCGCCGTACGCGGGCCTCTCACTGTTGTGGCCTCTCCCGTTGCGGAGCACAGGCTCCGGACGTGCAGGCTCAGCGGCCATGGCTCACGGGCCCAGCCGCTCCGCGGCACGTGGGATCCTCCCGGACCGGGGCACGAACCCGTGTCCCCTGCATCGGCAGGCGGACTCTCAACCACTGCGCCAGCAGGGAAGCCCTGCCTACTGCTTTTAAAGAAAAAAAGAAATCTGCTTTTTCAATACAGAATAGGGGAAGATAAACTTGATTAAATTCTGCATTATGGTCATTCAGGTCAAAGAGAGGAATTGTCAACCAAGGCAGAGAACAAGGAAGAAAACATGTAGGTTGAAGAAAAAGAAAGAACAGAGGTGACATGGAGTCCAGAAGCATGAAGGGCAGACATCCAGGGCACAGGGGTGGAGAAGGCGGACTTAAGGGCAGGAAAGGGACAGGCACCAAGTGGGGAAAAGAGACTCACTGTTGTCGGACACGACGGGGGGTGGCCCTTAGAGATCATCCAGGCCAGAGAGAAAAGAGGTGGAAGAATGGGGCAGCCTCAGAGCCCTGTGCAGCAATATCCTGAGGTCTCACACGCCTGTCATTGGAGCCCCAGAAGGAGAGGGGAGAGAGGGAATGGGCAGAAAAAGGGTTGAATCAATAATGATGGAAAACATAAACATAATAATAAGGCATCTAGGAAATCCCCAAAGGTTTGGAAATTAAGCAGCACAATTGAATTCGTTTTCTATTGCTGCATAAAAAATTACCCCAAAGTTTCATGGCTTATAAAAAATTACTGCCTGAAAAAAAAAAAATTACTGCCTCACAGTTTCTATAGGACAGACGTTGGGGAGCAGATTAGCTGTGTGGTGCTGGCCAAGAGTCTCTCCTGTGATTTTAGTGAAGACTTCAGCCGGGGAGCCGAGGGCACAAGGATCCGCTTCCAAGCTCGCTCTCGTGCTGGCTGTTGTCTGGGGACCTCGTTTCCTTGCCAGGGGACTGCTGCATAGGGCTTCTCTCCACATGGCAGCTGGCTTCTCCCTGAGGGATCCTAGAGAGTCAGAGCGTGAGCAAGAGAGCAGCCACAGTCTCCTTTATGACCCAATCTGAGAAGTGGTCACAGGACTGGCTCGGGTGCAGTGTGGGAGGGACAGCCCGGGAGCATGCGGTCCAGGAGGGGGGTTCGCCTTGGAGCCTGGCTGCCACTCGCTTCTAAGCTGCCTCTGGATCAAAGAAGTCGCAAGGGAAACTAGGGCTATTAATCGTTTGACATATATCACAGATGTTTCCCCAGTTTTTCATTGGTGTTTTACTTATGGGGCTTTGGTTATATGACAGCTTTAATTATAGTTAAATCCATTAGTATCTTCCTTTATAGCTTCTGACATAAGCTTCTAGACAGCCTCTGAATTACCGACTTTGAAAAGAAAATGTAGACCACTTAGATAGAGGTGTAAGTAGCATATACTTCCCTCTGGCATTTTAACAGGCATCAAAGTCATAAGCAAATGGAGGGAGCTTTTGGACGCTTCACCTAAGTAGTTACCTATTTATTTGTAAGAGAGGCCTCTAAAGGAGGATATGGCTTCAACAGAGTTTTCCTAAAACCCTGAGATTTCCTCTCATTTCACTCTTATCCTTGAAGAGGTTTTTAGATTGATGGAGGGTATTACATCCTTTTCCTTTGTTATATAACAGTAATAAAGGAAACCAGACGGTGAGGAGAACGTTATCCATAACCTCACTGCCCTAACATCTGCTCACACGCAAAGCCAGGGAGGAGGTGACAGAACTGACATTCAGGCCGTGCCGGGTGTGTGTCAGCACAGTCCTTTTGGAAAGAAGTTCAGCAGTATATGTGACAAATTATGGAAACCTACACATTTTGGATTCATTCATTTTCCTCTGGTTATTGATGCAGAGGAGAAGAGCTCTGTGCATGACAAGGCTCATTTCAATATTTTTATAATAGTGAAAAACCAGAACATAAATGTCTGGTACTAGAGGAATTGCTAATGAAATTGTGGTTCTTTCGCTCACAGTATTAGTAGCTATTGAAGATGATAATTAAGAAAAGCAGTATGAGACGGTATGGGAACTTGATTGTGTAATGAGGGATAAAAGCAGAATATGACATTATAATAACTCTGTGTTTGCAACTGTGTAAAACATTTGTGTGCTTGTGGAAAATGAGAGAGAATACGTAAAAATTAGATTAGTACCAAATGCCACTATGGTGGTCTTAAAGTAATACCAACAATAAAAAAAAAAAAAAAAAAGGAGAAAAAGATACATGCGTGCCCTGAGGCCCATTTGAACTTTAAGAGACCACCAAGGTCTGGGGCCGGAGAGCAGATGCGATCAAGAGGGCCACCCTAATGCTACCCCAAGGCCTCCTGCACCCAGGGCTGGAGTAATTGTCGACCAGGAGCTCTTCCCTGGGATTGAAACCCCAGCCAAACATTGCGCCCTGGGCTGGAGCAGACCAGATGCTCTGTCAAGGCTCTCAGAGTCTCTGGGAGAACCAGGGAACTGGGCTCAGAAGCCACAAAGCCAGGAGAAATGCCCACACACTCCACGGGGCTGCTCCAGTGATATCCCCACTGTGCCTTGCACCAATGCCCCGGGGCCAGGCTCACACTGCAGTGCCAGAAACTCTGCTCTGCTGTCCCTGAAGGGCGGGATGCCGCCTGCCCAACCGTCACAAAGATGTGTGTTCCCCGCGTGCCTGATTCTTCACATTGCCCACTTCTGAATCAGTCCCACATGGGTGCATTTGATTGGCAGGACCTAGGTCATCTGCCTGCACCCTGGCTGAAGGGAGCCTGGGAATGCTAACATGCTGGCTGCGGCCTTGGGAAATGAACACATCGTAGAGAAGCTCTTTTAAAAGTGTTCGTCAGCTACAAATGTAACAGTTGTCCATTACTGTTGGTAAGCCTGTTTGCTGTATTCCATGGCATCCCATCATGTGTGGGCCTTTCAAAATTAGTGTGGAGGGCTTCCCTGGTGGCGCAGTGGTTAAGAATCCACCTGCCAATTCAGGGGGACACGGGTTCGAGCCCTGGTCCAGGAAGATCCCACGTGCCGCGGAGCAACTAGGGCCGTGTGCCACAACTACTGAGCCTGCGCTCTAGAGCCCGTGCTCTGTAACAAGAGAAGCCACCGCAGTGAGAAGCCCGTGCACCGCAGCGAAGAGTAGCCCCCCGCTCGGCGCAACTAGAGAAAGACTGCACGCAGCAACAAAGACCCAACGCAGCCAGAAGTGAATAAATAAATAAAGTTATTGAAAAAAAAATTAGTGTGGAAATCTTACTGAGAGGATAAATTGATACGGCATTTTTAGAAAGCAATTTGACAATATGTATAATAGTCCTCAAAAATATTAATATTCTTTGCCCAGTAATTCCACTTCTGAAGCTCCATACAAAAACATGAACAGGGCTTCCCTGGTGGCGCAGTGGTTGAGAGCCCACCTGCCGATGCAGGGGACACGGGTTCGTGTCCCGGTCCGGGAAGATCCCGCATGCCGCAGAGCGACTGGGCCCGTGAGCCGTGGCCGCTGAGCCTGCGCGTCCGGAGCCTGTGCTCCGCAATGGGAGAGGCCACAACAGTGAGAGGCCCGCGTACCGCAAAAAAAAAAAAAAAAAAACATGAACAAAGATTCATGTATCAAAATATTCATCACAGCATTACTGATCATAGTGGAAAACAGGAAACAACCTAAAGGTTCTCCAAGGTTCTGTCCTAACCCTCTTCTCTTCTCACTCTGGGGCCACCGGGAACCTTGTTTGCTCCCTTGCTTCAGCTACCAGCTCTCTCTTCTGAGCCAGAAACCCCTACCAGACACAGCAAACACAGTTTCAACCGTTTATTAAGCATCTCCTATGTGCCAGTCGTCAGACTAGATGCTTTTTCTATCTTTTTTTTTAGGTATAATTATGAACAGTGAAATGCACAAGCCTTACATATACAGTTCAACGCATTTTGACAAATATACGTATTTACATAACCAACACCCAATTATATCCTTTAAAAATCTCGTGTCAACTTGAGTTGCCATCCTTATTTTATAGTTGAGGAAAAAGGCTGGGAAGAGTTAAATAATTTGACCAAGGTCACATAGCTAGTTTATGGGGAAACGAGAATTACAATCCAGATTTAACCTTTCTAGAAGGTAATGCTCTGCTTTAGATGATGGGAACTCACCACGTTCAAAAGTGCACTGGGCACTTCTTCTTTGATTCAGTTAGAGCTGTTGATTCCAAACTGGCCTACCTAAAAAGGAGCTTACTGGCTCCGGTAACTGAAAAGTCCAGGCAGAAGCTTCAGGCACAGCTCGATCAGGATTCACATGTCACTTGATCTGTTTCTCTACCAGCACCTCTGTACTCTGCTCCCTCTGCTTTGGGTTCAATATCAGATACACTTTCCCCTCGTCGGGGTAAGAAGGCCTCATCAGCTCCAACCATACATTCAAGTCCCACAGAAAAGAGGAAGGAGGAGAAATAGACATTTATGGTCAAGTCAGCATCTTACCTCTACATGTCCCTGGAATTCTGTTAGTCTGAATTGAAAATGCTGATGTCAGTGTTTCGTAGTAAATAACACACACTGTAATGGCTTTATAATTATTTTGATAGGAAAAGAATGATGGCTGTTTAAAAAGAGGTTCTATTTGTTCTTTGACTTCTCTGAACATGTGGTTTTACTTTTCAAAGACCATTTTTGGCCCTAAAATCCAGTAGGCAGTGTATAACTACAGGGAAAACATGGGAGAGAAACCACCTCCCCAGACAACATACTGCCAAAGCTCAAAGGAGGACTTACACAGTAAAATTTTACGATAGCTTTTTAAAAAATAAATGTGTTATGATTAGGTCAGATAGTCAACCAAGAATAAAATAATTTCCTTGTGAATTGTGAAAACAACAAAAAGAATGTTTAGAACTGAGTAGAGGATTTTTATTGTGCATATCCCTTCCTCCTGAAAAAAAAAGTTTTTTGGTTTTTGGTTTTGTTTTGTTTAAATTAATTTATTTACTTTTGGCTTCATTGGGTCTTCGTTGGGTTGTGCGGGCTTCTCATTGCAGTGGCTTCTCTTGTTGTGGAGCACGGGCTCTAGGCTCGAGGGGCTTTAGTAGTCGTGGCTCTCGGGCTCTAGAGCGCAGGCTCAGTAGTTGTAGCACACGGGCTTAGTTGCTCCCCGGCATGTAGGATCTTCCCGGACCAGGGCTCGAACCCGTGTCCCCCCGCATTGGCAGGCGGATTCTTAACCACTGTGCCGCCTGGGAAGCCCTGGTTTTTTTTTTTTTTTTTTTTTTGATTAGGTGAAACTACTCCATTAAAAAGTAGTTTCCCCCCAAAACTGAAATGTTAACTCTTACTCTCTCCAATGCTTCTAGGGAATGGAAGACATCCTTTGCTGCTTCATCAAAGAAGGCAATGCTGAAATGATCCGCCAGATTGAATTTATCATCAAGCAGCTTCATTCAGGTCTGTTCAATGCAAGAATCTATTATGTATCTTTTGAATCTTTCACATATGCTAGAAAGACACGTGGGCTTTCTTAGAGGGGCTTGTCATGTCTTAGAATTCATTCAAGAGGCCTTAAGGGAGGTGGGGAGACCCAAGTGAACCCACAAGTGAAAGTTCAGCCAGGTAGCCAAGGCCACTTTGTCCCATGATCAATAGTCTCTCGTCACACTTTTGGCTTAGAGTCAACCAGAAGAGCTCAAAAGCAGTTGCAGAAACCCTTCTCTAACTGGAAGTTCTCTTTATGTGGGCCTCCCCCTCCTAATTATTTCCCCCAGACCACTAGGGCGTCCGTCCCAGGGTCCGAGGGTCAGATAATGAAAACAGATGCCAATCTTTCCGGCACCACCGTGGCAAAGGCCCTCGTCCTCCCACGTTCATTCGCTCCAGAAGAATTCATGATGCCAACCAGCAACGTGGGAGGATGTGATCCCCTTCCTTCCATTACTGTCACCACCCACATCCCATAATAAGCAGTAAAGGAAGGTAAAGGAAGCTTTGGATGGGACCAGGTGGTGGGGACGCCCTTAGCTCTTTCTCTGGCCCCCTGATGCCTTGATCCTGACTTGTACACAAGCCAGAGGCACCTGGCACTGCCAGCATCCAGGGTCAAGCTTGTCACTTAACGTCTTTCTGCATGCCCTTGTCCACATCACTGAAAGTCCAAGTGCACAGATTCTGTTCCTCACACGAACGCAGGTAAAAATTGAATCTCCTGATCTCTAATCCCAAGGCAGCAGCTCGACCAAGGCCGAGCAAAAGGGAAATGCCTGAAGCCCTTCACTGGAGGAAGCCCACAGGTGGCTCTCCCAGCTCCTGGTTCACAGCTGGGGCTGCACAGGGCAGTCACCTGGGGAGATTTGAAAACCCCCAAGGTAGCACCCCATGCCAATTAAATCAGAATCTCTGGAGGAGCCCCAGGTACAAATAGTGTTTAAAACTCCCAGGTGATTCCAGTGTGCAGTCCTGCCTCGGAGGGACACAGAAATGGAGAGGCAGAAGAAGGGGGTTAGAGGGCTCCCCATCAACAGGAGGCGGCCAGGAGAGCAGCCGGTGAGGTTAAACCTTGGCTGCCTTCAGGCTGGGGGCCCATTTCCACTTGAATGTCCTCCCCTTTGGTTTTTATGGAGCAACTATAATTCATCCAGGATTCAGGTGGGGAAGGAACAGACTTGTATTTTCTGCAGCTACTGCATTTCTGACTTTGCACTTCCATTCTGCTAGGCGGGCATATTGAAAAAAATAATAAAAGGAAATAAAACCTAACCTTAGTCTTGGCCGAGGTTACTCCCTAACCTTCTCTATGTAGGCCACAGTTGGGAAGGCAGGGGAATGCTGGGAAAAGTTGTTGCCTATCTGCTCTGAGGTCACTAGCTATGCCGAGACCTCCCTCCCAGGCCAGGAGTCCTCTGCAGCGTCAGGGTCGGGTTTGGGTTGGGAACCTTCAAGGCTGACTCTGTTTCAGTCAGTCTATCGAGACACACCTCTATTTCCTTGTCAGTCTTCCCTCCTCCCAGGCAGCCAGAAAGCAGTGTGCCTTGTCTCTCTGGCCAAGAAAACATCTCTTCCTCTTACATAAAGCTGGGCCTTGGACCGGCACACTAACGAATGTGAGGACGAGGGGTCAGTCTACGTTTCCGTAAGGGATGTGCTTTAGCAAGAAGTTGTCCTGCGCAGAGCCAAGGCCTTACAACCTTGTGTGTTCAGGACAGACTTGGGGTCTACCTGCTCAGCTCCGGAAGGTCCAGTTTAAATGGAGTGCCTACAGTGGTTCTTTTTCATTTCAAGCACAGAAGCTGTTCTGTATCCATAGGACAGTGGCAGGACTCCAGAGACGATTACCCAGGAGTCTGCTACTTTGAAGCAAAATTAGAAAGTCATTGAATATTTGGGTGGAGGACCAGATACATACACATAAATACCTTAGGATACCTGTCAACAGCTATCAAGGCAAAATGAATCTACAAGCATCATGCTTAAACCTAGAGGAGGGAGAGCTGGAGAGTTTCCATCTAGTCCAGTCTTCCTCCTCAAGGGGAAGTTGATAGCCGAGTGGGAGTTATGAGGTGAATCTTAAACTAGTAAATCTAGTTTTAGATTTAACAATCTTTTAAAGTATCGGCTTTCTTGTTTTATTTTAGTGAACATGAAAACATGTACATGGGTTTTCATAATTCAACTCCATCTCAATCCTCTAGCACTCTTTTTCTAGTGGAGTTTTAAGGTCCTCAAGGACAAAAATTCCCATGTATTTTAGAACTCTAACCCCACGGGAGGGGAAGGACTGCTCTGGCGAAGCCTAAGGGGAACTCCCGGCCTGGTGATGTGACAAGTGGAAGTGAATGGCCAGCAGCAGCAGGGAGTTTTGTCCGTGACTCCAGCACTCAGCAAGGGGGACCGGCAGATACCAGCCGGTCACCAAAGAGAGGACAGGGCGACCTGACTGGTCACTGGGCAGAGCAAGGCGGAGCCGGCTTTCCCGGAGGGCCCTCAGGAAAGAAGGGATGCTGGTAGCTCAAGCGCCCTGTTGTTGGGCCCACAGCCCAGGGAGCAGTGTGGGAAGCAGGGCTCGTGTCTCCGTCCTCCCGGAGAGGAGGAGCTGAGGCTCGTAAGGGACTTGGGTTCACAGGACTGCACATTGTTCCGAAAGTAGGTTGAGTCTGAGCCCACAGGCTCAGGCTCAGGGGCAGTGTGGCTGGACTAGCCTGTGGCCTCATGAAATAGCTGAGATTCAAAAAAAAAAAAAAAAAAGGCCTTTCCATATTTGAAGAAGAAAGGTTTAATTTACAATTGGTAAATATAGCAGCCTCCCCACTGTGAAAGCCACTTACCGAAGCTGGGAAGGAGCAGTGCTGTTCAGGGGCTGGGAGGGCATAGAAGTTGGGTAATTAAGCTTCAGCCCGGATGCAGGTAACGCAACATCCTCCGGTGTGCAAAGTAGCTTCCACGACAACGGCACAGCCCACGGTAGGCACGCGAGCCCTGTGAGTGACCTGCTGGCTTCGGTCCAGCCGGGTCAGTGGAGTCCTTCCCTTCAGAATGAGGGCTGCGTCGAGGACAACGGGAGTCCTGGCGTTCCTACGGATTCCCTTCTAGGAAATGGTTTTGGGGTTTGGTTAAGTCTAGGTGCATCTGCCGCCTTCCTGAGTGTGCTGGACAGTGTCTTCAGTGCCTTTGTTTCCTTCTGTCCTCCTATTTCCTCTTTGATTTCCTTTCCTCTTCTCTCCGGCTTTCTTTACTTTCATGTCGTCTGTTCAAGAAATGGGTGATAATAAGGAAGGTGCTGAGTAGGTCAGGTGCTCTGGCCCCAGGGGCTCACAGGCTTCGTTTACCTGTCTCTGCAGCAGCTAAAGGATTTTGTTGACCAAGGCTCCCCACTGTGGTTGCAGTTACTCGTTGATCTCTTTCTTTGTAGAAGAGCTGCTGGACGGTGTTCCTGAATCTGATGATGACGAAGATGAAGACGATGAAGTAAGTTAGAGGCTCTTGACACCACATAGAAAACTCCGGCCAACTATTCTGAGTCTCTTCCTCGCCTTGGAAAGTTAGTCCAGAAATGGAGCTTTCAGTCCCTGCTACGTTACTTCTCACAATTCTGTGGGTCGGCTAGAGCTCAGCTGGGTGGTTTTCTGCTGGTCTCTCTTGGGGTGTCAGTGGCTCTTCTCCACGTCTGAGCTGGCATCGCGGCTGCCACAGCCCCTCTCCACGTGGCCTCTAATCACTCAGCGGTCCATCCGGGACTGCCTTATTGGTTGGGGGCCGGTCTCCAAGGGGAAAGAAGGGAAAGCTTCCAGTCCTTGTGCGGGCTCAGCAGCCTCAGCACATCACTTCACGCTGCGTTCTGCTCGGGGCATATGTGCCAAGACCAGACCAGTCGCGGGTGGGGGTGGGGGTGGGGGTGGCAGTTAGACTCCACCCACACACGGCTGCAGGGTGGGAGGACTTGCGGGTGGCGTGTCTGGAGACCGTGGCCGCACCTTGGTGGGCTCGTTGCAGCCAGCATGGAGAGGCCACACTCTGTGGCACTTGGGTTGATGGGAGGCTGAAAGATGACAGGTCTTCAGCTGAGTCTTTTGCCCTGAAGGGGCGTGAACCTCCCCGTCTTCCTCGTGGGTGTGAACGTTGGGCCTGGAGGCTCCCCGGGAGAATCTCCAGTGTGGGAGTCCGGGGCTTGGTTCAGAGCTGGCAGAACCTACCACTTTACCCTGTCATTTGCGTTCCTGTGGTGTGGGTTACCTCAGCTGTGAAAAATCCGCTTACCTGGTTTTTTAGAGCGTGAAGGTTCAGAATGAGGGCGTCTGAGTGAGTCCCGTGAGGTGGTGTAGAGAATGGTGACTCATGGGCTGTAGGTGGATTTTCACATGACACGCTATTTCATTATTTTTCCTTCAGACCTAAAAAACCCATACATGGCTGTCCTCTCTTGTCCTCTGTGGTAATAAGTGATTTGCATTCCCTCTATTTTGTGGGGAGCATTTATTCCTGAAGTGAACGCTGGAAGATGAGTTGTTCTTTGGAGTTGTGGTCTGTCCATGTAAAAGGTGTGTAGAAGCCAGGTTTTTGTTCATTGATGGCATCAGTTAGGGGAGGCAGTTCGTTTAAGAGCCCTCCACCAACGAGGACGGCTCCACCAGTGAGGACAGATCTGTGAGCGATGGCCTCCTGCCTGCCATTTTCCTAATGGGCTGTAGGCGGCGCCAGCGAGCACCCCTGCTCCCTGCTGTTCTGGACTTCCAGAACTGGCCAGCACCGTGTCCAGGCCCCTTCCTTTACAAAGGTGGATCCAGAGAAGGGAGGAGGCCAGCCTAAGGTCACACAGAGCTGATGGCAGTAAAATCTGGTTTACAACAGTGGTCAGCAGACTTTTTCTATAAAGAGGAAGCTAGTATAATATTTTAGGCTTTGCAGGCCACACTGTCAGTTTCATCCACCCAGATCCACCCATTGTAACACAAGGTAGCCATGGACAATACATGAATGGTTGAACGTGGCTGTGTTCCCATAAACCTTTTTTTTTTTAATGTGTCCTGAAGTTTGAATTTCATATGATTTTTATGTGTCGTTAAAAATTTTTTTCAAACATTTAAAAATGTGAAAATCCTTCTTAGTTTACTGGCCTAACGACCACAGGCCATTGTTTGCCGACCCCGGAGAGAACCCAGCTCCCTGACTCACTGGCCTTCTCAGGACCGTGAAGAGACACCACCTGTGTGTCTTGCCATTCAGCACTGTTTTATATTATACTTTGAGTTAATATCTTTTTTTTTTTTTTTTTTTTTTTTTTGCTGTACGCGGACCTCTCACTGCTGTGGCCTCTCCCGCCGCGGAGCACAGGCCCAGTGGCCATGGCCCACAGGCCCAGCCGCTCCGCGGCATGCGGGATCCCCCCGAACCGGGGCACGAACCCGTGTCCCCTGCACCGGCAGGCAGACTCCCAACCACTGCACCACCAGGGAAGCCCCGAGTTAATATCTTAATTATTTAATTCCAATAACTTTTTGTCCAAAAAAAGCTCCCCTCAAGATCTGTTTTTCCCCCCATCTGTTATCACTGTGGGGTGGTTTTATTTTATTGCTATTAACCCCTTTGTTTTTGTACTGCAAGGGAAAATTCATTTGGTTCAGCTGTTAATGATGGGGATTCAACTTTTGGAAATTTCCCTGTGGAAGTTATAGTCGACTATAACTACAGTTATAGTCTATGGTAAAGAAGGAATATAGACATCTTTTAATTTTCTGGACTTTTTGCTACTCTATGCATATTTTTATTTTAAGAAGCTAGTGTTTGAAAATATTTGTTGTGATAACTAGAATTTTCAGAAGATTCTTGAAAGGGTTTAGCTGGAAAATTATAAGGAAAGGACCTGTCATTTGGGGCCAAAACTTGACTCTCTGTGATGAGCTCAGGTCGGCAGGTTCTGGGCTCTCCCTCTGTCATGGTCCCGACGCGTACTGTGGAGGACTAGCCAGGACGACCTGGGAAGGAGCCAGCAGGTCTCTGCTTTACTCAGCTTTCCCCAAGGCCAGGTGTTACTTTTTAAACTGGGGGCAGGGGTGGGGGAGGTATGGGTATGGGGAGAAACTGAAAGGTGCTTAAACTACAGGAAAATCTCCAAAAATCAGTTGTGCAAGTCACACTGTTGTTGCAATGTGGCTGTCACTTCCCAAGGTGACAACTTTGAAGGAGACAGCAAAATTATTTAAGCCCAAAACGCAGATAACGAAGCCACTGTTTGCAGTTAGCTGCTTAGTGCCTCTAAAGGTAAAATGGCTCTAGGAGGGGCCGGAGGCCGGGGTAAATTATGGCTGCCTTGCCTTACACTGGGCTGAAATCTGTGCCCTTGCAACTTCGGCCACTGGTCCTGCTCCGCTGGAGACTCTCAAGGATCCCCAGATGCAAAATCTGATTTTTCCCTCTAATTTCTAAAAATGTAATGACTTGTCCTGATGTATTAACAGTTATTTAGTTATGCCTGAATATATATACATACACATACCAACATAAAAAGTTAACCAGAGTTAGTTTTTTTCTGACTTGTAGACTGTCTAGGATATAATGTCAAATGGAAAAAGGAAATTGCAAAGTAACGTGAGCAGTATGAGTCAATTTCAAAAAACAAACTTATAAACACACATCCTGATGAATTATATACCTGCTCATATATACATAGCAGAAAGGTGTGGAAAGTTACACCCTCTTAGTTGACACTGGAAATCCCCTGGGTGAGGTCTGGGGATGAGGAGAGGTGTGGCTGAGAGGTGAAGAAAGGCCTGGATCAGCAGGGCCCAGGGCTGCAGACTCACCACGTGAGGCGAGAAGTAGGAAGGGCATGCTGGATTTAGTGGACGGAGGTTGGCTGCTGAGCATTTTTGAAGACTAATGAGGCAAAAGCCAAACTGAGCAGTTGAGGAGCAGGTGGGAAGTAAGAGCATGGAGCTAATAAGTACATACAGCTCTTCCCACAGATTTGGCTATGAGCAGGGGAAGAGAGTTGGATGGTGGCTAAACGGGGCATTTTTGTTCTGTTTTCATTTGGGAGATACCTAAGCATGTTAAAATGCTGTTTGGGGTCTTCCCTGGTGGCGCAGTGGTTGAGAATCTGCCTGCTAATGCAGGGGACACGGGTTCGAGCCCTGGTCCGGGAAGATCCCACATGCCGCGGAGCAACTAGGCCCGTGAGCCACAACTACTGAGCCTGCGCATCTGGAGCCTGTGCTCGGCAACTAGAGAGGCCGCGATAGTGAGAGGCCTGCGCACCGCGATGAAGAGTGGCCCCCGCTCTCCACAACTAGAGAAAGCCCTCGCACAGAAACAAAGACCCAACACAGCCATAAATAAATAAATAATTAAAATTTAAAAAAAAAAAAAAATGCTGTTTGGGAAGGATCCAGTTGAGAGGGAAAGGTTGAACATTCAAAGCAGGAGGAGAGAGAGAGGATGGCATCAGAAGGACAGGTGTTTTCATTATTTTCTAAATTGCTTCTTATACTCTTCTTGGACCATTTAAAGCTCCAGAGGAAAAAAAAACTATCACTAGATAAGCTTGGACAGTACCTAGGAGAGAATGGACAAATGACAACAACAATTTAAGGGTTCCAACGCATCTCACCTAGTGCTTTGAAGAAATGTGATATTATCTAATACAGTTTATTTTTATATTAAACGTAGATAATATGTTCCCAAAGGGTCTATGGTGAATCACAAGGAGTCCTGATTCCAGTATTCTCACCACAAACGGCTCACATTTTCTTACAGTTTGAGGCGAGTTCCTTGTGTCTAGCTCATAAGTGGCTTTGTAAGTGGAGATGAAAGGCCTTTCTGTGCTATTCCAGAAGATTGATTTTAAGACAAATATTCTCCCCTCTTAACAAAATAGGTTTAAAGGCTGGGTTAGATCAGCCATGGACATTTACTTACTGGTTGCCATGAAAGTGACAGTCATGTGCTCAGCAGTTCCTTTCTCTATAGACTTCTGAAATCTAAGAGCCATTCACTTGCTTATTCAACAAATATTTGAGGACCTTAAAATAACATAATTCTAGGAAGTAATGGGGAAGGGATCCAAAAGAAATTTAAGAGTATCTGTGGTTTAAAATGACTCTAAGAGTTTAAAATCTAGATAGGTGAGGCAATAAAGACCCTGATAATAGCTTGTGTAGCATCACCACGTGCCAGGCACTGTTCTAGGCACCTTACACTTACTGTTTACCCATTTATTCCTCACAAGAACCTGGTGATAGGTGCCGTTATTGTTCCATTTCACAGACAGGGAAACAGAGAAAATATGTCACTTGCCGAGTTCGCACAGCTGATAATTAAGTGACGCAGCCAGGAATCAAACCCAGGTGGTCTGACTTGTCCACACTGTTAACCACTACATGATTTTGTCTCTTGCGAGACATATATAAAGTTAGCAAATAATAGAAAATAAATACGCGCTCGGAGGTCCGTGAATGTGATAGAAACAAGAA